GCAGGATCCAGGAGAGAGGAGATCAAGCTTTCACTGAGAGAGGTGAAAAATCACAAGTTTAATTTTAAAGTTTGTGAAAGATTGCTTCTCCCTTTCTCTGTCCCTTGGTTAGTTCCCTTACAGCAATTTTTCTTTGATTTGATTTTTGTTTGTAATTTTTTTTTCTATCCAACTCTGTATTAAACAGTTATTTTTAAAAGTTCCTGAAAATCAGGAATTACCAGAATTGGCCAAGTTCAGGCACAATGTGGAAGGTTTAGAGGAAAATTCCTCAAACAAATCTGCTCAGCTTCTTAATTTCTGAACCTCTCTTATTATATTATTCCTCTTATTCTAGTCACTGGTCTCCTGCCAGACCACCTCTAACATGATCAATGCAGCTCCTCCTGTAATTTCTCTTCTGGCTGTCCCTTAAGCAGTATCACTGTGCACAGCTATACTGTTAGGTGATGAATATAACAAGCAGCGCACAGCTATACTGTTAGGTGATGAATATAACAAGCAAATCACGTTTGATGAAACATGTCTTATTCAAGGGTTTTAAAGTACTACTTGAAAGGAAGTGTTATTAGCCACACTGTAAACAAGCCTGCTCATCTACAATAGGGACTATGTGCAAGTTTAAAGACCTGCTATGAGTCAGTGACAGAGCTTGCAATAGAATAGTCTTGCCATGTTTATTGTCTTCGCTATTTATTATTTGCAGAGTACCACAGGTGTGCTTGACTGTGGTTCTTCTTGCCCATTCACAACAGAAGAGAGTAAAAATGTTAGTGTTTGTAACTAGCATTCTGACAAAACCATGTGAAGAAGAAGAATTTATACCTGAGCTTGTAAATTACTGTGACTGGTTTGCAAGCCTGGTATAGAGGCCAGGCTTTTTTTTTTTTGATCCTGTGATCCTTTGTTTCCTAGCCTGGGATGAATCCTTTAAGTGGAATGAGAGACTCATGTAGGGAAAATGAGCATTTTCAGGAACTTTATTCGTCCCTCTCTAAAATACAAGATTCCAGGGAGGAAACTGTTCCCTGATCCTTAGTGACTCCACTCTGCTAAAAAACACGATTTTTCTACATTAAATACCATTGTATAACATTCTAAATACTTACTCAGAAATCATCTGGGAGTATCAAACAAGAAAAACCCCCTTCATTCTTTCCTGGGATAAATGAGCCCTGTTCCACTGGATTCCCCATGTTTGCTGACTGTTTATATATCAGCCACAACTTCCCATTAGGAGCCAGGGTTTTTGGTCTGGGCCAGGATGGAGGAGGTTGTGCAAGGTTTTCCTCAAAGAAGATGAGTGTTTCTGCCTTCTGATTGTCCTTGCCTGAGATTGTGTAATTTCAATCTCAAGCCATGTGAAAAAGGATTCCAGGTTACAGTACAATATTTTCTACTTTCTCTCTCACTACTGCAGTTGAGGTTTCTACCTATGCAAAAGAGAGGACTGGGCTGAAGTTGCTAATTCTGTTTCGCTGTCAATGGAGATGTAATACAGTGCTCACTTGGTACAATGGGAACATCACTCCTCCCTGCTCTGAAACCTCTCCCTATGTAACTGAACTCTTCCAGACTTCAAGAGTACTGCTGTTGCAAGGCAGCTCACCAACCACTAGAATTTCCCACTGGGGTTATGTTAAATTTTAGAAACATATTATTTCAAAGGTGGCAGTTTGGGCTTTGCAGAATAGAACTGTTGATTTTGTTTCTCCTGAGGAAAAACTTCTGAAGACAGTGAGGAATGAAGATGTGACCTATCCTAAAATTATTATATTGTTAAGTTGCTCTATTTTTAGAAAATCTGTTAGATCCTGCTATTACCCCTGAACTAGAAGCTGAAAGTTAAACTTCTGTCTCGGACAACCAAGGACATGTCCTGGACAATCAGATATGTCCTGGTTGGGGCTCCTTTCTCCACAGTCTTGCATGTTGCTTGTGTACCTGCTCTGCTCTTGCTGCTTTTCTGGTGAGCAAATTAAAGCACAAATTTACAAGCTCATAAGAACCAGGAGTCTCAACTGTTCAGTTGCAGTGCCTGCTCAGGAGGAGGGCTGAGCAGCTGGGGAAATGGGGGGTATGGTTGCCTGCAAAACCAAAACACAGCTGTTAAGGCTAATTTTAGGTTTTCTAGTCTTGACGCTAGCCCTGTATTCCAGCAAGCTGTTTGTAAGTCATAAGCATTCCCAAGCATGTCCCTGAGTTACAGTGGGAATGTTAATGTGACCTTTCTCTAAAATTGTATTTATAGAGGCCTCTGAAATAATGAGAGACATCGGAACAGCCATCCAGTATCTGCATTCAATGAACATTGCCCATAGGGATGTCAAGGTGAGGCCTGAAGGTGTGTGGGCAGGGAAAAAAGATCATAAGGCAGAAAAATAAATGGGTGGTAGTGGTTTAAATAGAACTAGGAGTACAATCAGATGGTCAGAGTGTTTCTATTCCTCTGCCAATGTGACAAGGGATCTGTTCACAACTAGTTTGCAACTAGTCAAAGGTCAGAATATTCATGTGTGCTAATGCCTTCCAGTTGCGTACGGAATACAGAAGAATCTGGTGATAGTCACGTGGTTAATTTAAGAGGTACTACCAACTAGCAATCCAGTTAATTAACAAGACAATAACACTGCCTGAAGTGAACTTATACTAGATGCTATACCTCTATGTACAGTCTTTGCCAGTTATTAGCTGTTTTCAGAATCATAGTTGCCTAAAAAAATAAAACCAAACCAACCAAACAAAAAACCTAAACAAACACCAAACCCCCCTTCAGAAACAGGAGAAACTGCACATGTGGCAGGAATAATACCAATTCCATGCATCCAACCCACTTTGATAGTATATGTAAATATCTGGGCAGATGGGAAGATCTCAGTTACTACCATGTGGAACAATGTGTTTTTATTAGCTAAAGTTTGTACCCAAATCTTGTTGTAGAGATTTGACAGGGTTTGTAGTATTGTATTTTGTTTTCGTTCTGTAAAGTGTGCAGCATAAGCAAAGACAATATAGCTGCAACAAGGCATTTCTGGTGCAGTGATACGGCAGTGTGATGGAATGTGCTGGAGAGCAGGTCACATAATGATAGACTGAGGCATCTGATTGATTCCGCAGTTCTGAGTTTGTGAATTTTCTACAGATGCTTCTGTGTGTTTAGCTGGAGGGAGAACTGCCATTCCTTGGTATCACCGAGGGGTATGTTTGAGGGTTCTTTAGGGTAGGAACTGGAGAATGACTTAACAGTTCAGAGACTGAAAATCTATTCACTGTTGTAGAGCTATGTGCCATTGCCTATCACCAGCACAGAAACGGAAGCACTTAGACCCAAACACCACCTACACACGCTCAGTGAACTAACATAGAAATGGTTCAAATTGCTTAATAGATCCTAAGTCCTGTTTTCTTTCAAGCCCTTCTTCCTAAACACTAGCACGAGGGAGGGCATAGCTTCCTTATGACTGAGAAACTGGAAAACAAGTTCAAACCATTGCAGATTCTGGAGATGTGCTGTTCTCCCTGTTCTTGTGCACAAGAGCTTGTACTTCCCTCTGTGCCACTTTTGGTTTTTGAGAGCCTTTATGGAGCATGGAGCAAGAATGGAATTAACTCAGGTTTCAGGAGATGGAGGGGGGGAGCAGGAAGGGAACTATGTCTGTATCAGTTAATTCTGATGGAATCATGTCAGTTGCTCATAGAGAGTTTGGCTGATGACTTCTCTTGTCTTCCACCTCAGCTACTTGAGTGCGGTACAGAGTGCTGTCAGATCAACTGGTGTTGATCAGGCAGAACAATCCTAGTAAGTGCAGTGAACTAGAGAGAGGTTCAAGAAGACATGTCAAGTTCACTTGACGCCCATTGGACCTGATGAGAGTCTTGTGATTTGCTCTCCTAAATACCGTGTTGAGAAGGATGTTGATCCTTAGTCCGAGCAAAGATGCTACTTGTTGGGAGGGAACTTTCTGGATGTTATGATGGGAATGTGAGAAAAGTAAGACCCACATGCTGGTGGTGATCCGGGCAAGCAGAAGTGGTTTGACCTTTCAGTTTATTAGAGACATCTCTTCATTGTCCAGTTTATCCTTTCTCTTGGTGGCCTTTCAGCCTGAAAACTTGCTTTACACCTCTAAAGAGAAGGATACTGTACTCAAGCTCACAGACTTCGGCTTTGCCAAAGAAACCACTGTACAAAATGCATTGCAGACCCCCTGTTACACTCCTTATTATGTGGGTAAGTTATCCAAGATGGATTTCTTTTGCGTTTCAGTCTGTCATCCCTCCCCTTATAGTGGGCCTATGGACTGTAGGAATGGATGGGAAATCTTCTATTTTGGATGTAATGCAAAGAGGTAGCCTGCAGAATTTAAACTGGCACCTAACCAAAACCTAGTCTGGTTCTGGTACAGTTCAGTGCTCCTGCTTTCTTCCTTGGTTGCAGAGGAAACAGCCTTAACGGGATGCAAATGAGGATCAAGGAGAGAGAACATGTTGCTTCTGATTACACTTGAAGTAATCCTGATGTTTCCTCTGAATGATGCAATAAAAGCCGTAATTTGAACTCAGCTTCATGATTATTTGGGTGTTTCCTTGCAAAACTTCCCTTAGCTTAACTAATGCAATAAAAGAGAACAGGGGGAGTATTGCCTCAGCTGTAAAGCTTCCTAAAGCTGGCAAATGGAGGAATTAGTAATAAAACACCAATGTGACTTAATCACAACTGAATTTTTGCCTGCGTTTTGTCCAAAGACAGAGCACTGTGTAATGAATGCCACAGTAGACTGTCCTTTATGCACTCATTTTACAGTACGTCCCTTTTGGTCTTTGAGTTAATAGTCATTCACCATATGGTATGACTGAGGCAGTCTGCGCTTGGAATTTCTTTGGAGGAAAAAGGGCTTAGTTTTTTGGAAGAATTAGTTCTCTTCTACAATGTAAGTTTTTTATAGTTTTTTTTGTATTGAAAGATACTGTTATTCATTGTTAGCAGAGAATTATGATAGCAATGTTTTTCTCTGATGCTTTCTTCTATATTTTTGTAAGCTGGGATTAGTGATAAAATGTTAAGGAATTTATGCATATATGTTTTTATGCCTTCATATTTGTACATAAAGATGCTGACATTCCCCTTCTCAACACCTTTTTATAAACCAGCATGATTGCTCATATGTTTAGAGAATCATTTTCCTTACAAAATCAAGACCCCTGCCAGTTCACCTGCCCCAGGGGGAAAAAAAAATCCCCTCTAAATGTATCTCTCCATAATGTTGTTACTTAGTGAAGAAATGTAATGCTCTAGAGGCCAAAGAAAAATACATTGCTCTGTAGTTGCTGGAGCTAAACACACTCTACCCAGGTACTGATCAAAATTTTATCACAGCTCAAGTAGGTCCTTTCTGTTCTGATTCTTGGAACATATGCTCCTGCCTCTTTCAGTGCAGTGTCTCCCTGTACACGTTTAACTATAGCTCCTTCTGCTTTTCTGTAATCTTAGTACTCTTGAGCAGAGAGACACTGAGGTGAAGAGTAGGGCATTTTGCCAGCTCCATTCCTCCTTTTTAAAGCTACATTAGATGTGTTTAGGGACTTGTCAATAGAAAATACTAGCCAGTTCCTGCAGTGAGTTGCATTTTTTTTTTAATGCCTCCAATATTTGTTGTTGAAGTGTGCTGCTACTTACAAGGTGATGGAGATGAAAGGAAATATCTGGTACTCTGTTAATTTCTGGTTTTAATCTTCTTCAGCCCCAGAAGTCCTTGGTCCTGAGAAGTATGACAAATCATGTGACATGTGGTCATTGGGTGTCATCACATATATTCTGTAAGTATTTGGAAAGAGGCTTGATGAACGGAAAAAGGACACACCTTATTAAATCTGCACTTAGAAGTAATTAGTCACTAGGATCATGTAACCTGCAGAAGAATATAAGCTTGTATGGGACTTTTTAAGAGATGAAAGGACTTTCCTAGTTATAATAGTTCTTTTGTCCACTCTTACAGCCTGTGTGGGTTCCCTCCATTCTACTCAAACACTGGTCAAGCCATTTCTCCAGGGATGAAGAGAAGAATTCGGATGGGGCAATATGGATTTCCCAATCCAGAGTGGGCTGAAGTATCAGAGGAAGGTAACAATGCTCACTGCCACTGATGAGTATGTGCATGGTGTGCAGTGGTGAAGTGCTTACAAGAGACTATTTCTAAAAACCTGTCTTAGTTTTTGTTTCCCTTTTTTTAGAATTCAAATTACTTTTTGTAAAGTGATACAGAGAACGACTGGGAGCTCAGACACTAGCCAGCCACCTAAGTACTACAGAAAGTAAATGACTACTGAAAACTTTCTTTCACATTCCAGCTAGTGCTAGTGAATGCTGAGATTAAACCCACTGGGAACAAAAGTCTTTAATCCTGAGAAAGGAGACTGCCAGGACAGCTGCAATGCAAGCTGAGTTGGAAGAAAGGCAAACTGTCTTAAGAACTCATTCAGTCTTTGCCCGCCTCGGTGATACAGCCAGCAAGGATGGCAAGTTTTCATGCTAGCTTTTTGTGATGTGGGAATTTGCCAGCCACCACTTAAATCAAGGTCAACAATTTATTTTGTATAAGTCATTGACCAAAAGCTGCTGCTGTTCAGCTGTGACCTAGATGGGCTCAAACCAGTGTCCTGAAAGTGGCTGGTTTTGATTCCCTCTTATTCTGACAGTCTCATAAGCTGGAATTCTCACCTGCCCGTCATATTAGAGAGAAAGGTTAGCAACCTCTGGGCACATCTTTTTTTCTAATAAGCCTTTTATACTGCTGTTGCTAGCATCCTATTATTGTCTGCTGTTTAGCAATAACAAATTATCATTGGGTAATACTGTGATCTGTGGCATTTTAACCCCTCATTGGATCTCATGGTTGCATGTGCAGCATAGACTACTGAACATTAATGATGAAAACTAACGTGAAGATGTTTTACCTATGGGTTGCTGGCTTAATATTTTGTCTGCCTTGGGTCTTGTTCATATTACAGCAGTTATTAAAATGCTAGGGGGACTTGATGAGAGAACATTCACTTGGAAAATCTGTAGGGCTTCCGTATGCTTGCCTGAATGAAGATAGGTGCCCTCTACCTTTGAACTTATTAAGGTCAGCTAGTTTATGTGCACTCTTTTAGGCTGATCAGGCACCTTCAGCAGACTGCTTCTTTTTGCCCTCCTTTATAGTGTTCTTGTCATGGTTTTCTTTGTCTAATCATTCCTTCATTACATCATCTATGGAGGCTTTGTGGAAATTCCCCACCAGCTTCCTGTAATTATCTTAATGGGCTTTATTTGTGGTCCCCTCCTTTTGTTTCCTTGTACATTTTAGACTCCAGGTAATCTCTTCTGTAAACCTTCTTTGCAGCCTCTCTTGACAAACTAAAGTATCAACTTGTACTTCTGGCAGCTTCTTACAAGCATTTAGTCATCTTGCATTCAATGTTTCTAAAAGAGAATTTCTATTCAAAAGTTTTTCTAGGTTCCCTCAAGGAAGTTCTGTTTAAGTCTTTCTAAATAATGTCCCTTGGATGTAGTGTTTCCTGTCTGTCCACCTGCATTAATGAAACTTTTGTCCAGACTCCCATCATCTCATATCTCAGTTAGTACTCTTGCTTTGGCAGATACCATGTTTACAGAAAGCTGCTACGGAGCCTGTTTGTGCAATCCATTTCTTTGACTTTGTTGTCCTTTTAGTGGCCTCTCAGTTGTCAAAGAGAAGTTTATTGTCTTTTTTTTTTTTTTCCCCACCAGTCTGTGCTAGTTTTTGTCTTCTGTCATTTCCCAAAACTTCAGCTTACACATTCATTCAGACCATAATGCCAAGCTTCTTGCCATCTTTCAGAGAGGCAGCTTGGCAGCTTTCTGTTCCTACGTTTCTTTTTTTCTCAAGTTCATGCTCTCAGAACAGTTGGTTTGGTGATGTAGATAGCATAGATGGAATCTCCTATCCTTTGTCTTTCCTTCTTACCTCTTGTTTGGATGTTTTCATGCTCTGCCTCTTTAAACATAATGACCGACCACACTGTACATGGCTTCTTAACATGGTAACAGCAATAGGTAGGTGTTTTGACTTCTGCAAAATTATTTTTCATTCAGCAGGTCTTTGTGTTCTCAAGGTTATTTGGGATCGCAGTAGTAGACTACAACATACCATGTTGGTCCTGTTTTTCAGCCAAGCAACTGATTCGCCATTTACTGAAGACTGACCCAACAGAGAGGATGACAGTTTCTCAATTTATGAATCACCCTTGGATTAATGTGAGTTTCATATCTCTTTTTACAAGGGAGCAAGACGAATTCTTACATGCAGAATTACATGTAGCTCTACATACCACAGCAAGAGAAGGATGATGATTACTGTTAATAACTTAATTAACCTACTGTGCCTCCCACAGAGGGTCATCTGCCTGTAGAACCGCAGTTCTTGGTGTTACCAGAGGACACACAGAGACACCCGCAATAGTGTCCTTGGAAGCAAAAGCTAAATGTATCTAGATACTCTGTGAGCAGGCAGTCCTGTTGACTCTGCAGCATATGCATGTGTTACTCTCTTTAAAAATATAAAAATAAACTGTATGTACTTACTTCATCGATGCAGGATTTAGAGAGAGCTATTATTAGTCATCTCAGGCACCATTGTGCATAGCTGTGTTAGTGTGAAGAGAGTCCTATGCTTAGTGGGAATTCTTATCCTTGGCAGAGTTTGGAAATGTGTGTGGGAGGAGCAAGGGTCTCGGCTTACTGCCCTGCAAGAGATTGGCAGATAGGGTGGTACACAGAGCTATTAATGGTCCCAGTTCAGGTTTCATTCTATGACTTGGTTGAATTTACTTTTCCTTAAAAAATACTTCTTGGGGAAAAAGACAAAAAGACTCTAATAATACAGTATTAATTATTTCAAACAAGAGACAAAAATCCCAGGAGTTATCCGGCTGTTTCAGGATATCATCTCTGCTCTGTAGGTGTCACTTAAAATAATAGATTATACTTCTCACATTTGTGCCTAAAAGGGCACCAGTCTTGTTCTTGCTGCCCAAAAAAATCATCAGCCAGGAACAGAATCACTTGTGCTGTAGAATGCCCTGTTCTCTCATAGTGCTTTGTCTGTGCTGATCCTCAGAGGAAGGGGCAGAAACAGAGGCATGACTAATAGTCAGCATTTTTATAATGCCTGTTTGAAGATCTGAAAGCCCTTACAATCATACAGAAATATAGCTGTATACCGTCCTGATGTCTTCATTTAGAGTTGTGAAAGCTGAGGAGTTAAGGTAAAGACTCTATAGAACTGGAACAGAACCTAGACAATGTTTCTAAGTCTTTTTTAACCAAATAAAAATGTAATCACTCTTCAGAATAAATACCTTCAGCTTTAAGTGTTTGAAGACCCAGGAAGGAGGTGTTCCAGAAGTCAGCAGGCGATGAATTTCACAGAATGAGTGCCTAATAGCTAAGGAAGCTACCACCTACAGCGACACATGTTACTTGAAATATGCATATAACCAATTAATAAGGAGGAGATTAGAGACAAGGTCTATAGACTCTGCTGCACCAAAGAGCCGTGCTAGAATACCTTTCCTGGAAGAATGTTCTAGGAGCTGCAGATTGGCATTGCTGAACCTATTGTTCCCATGAGGCAGAGGGAGGGAGAGGGAAAGACCAACATAGTGAATGTCTCTGTTCTTCCTTTTTTTTTCCTAAATCCCTAAGTAGGAACACGTATGGGGAGATGCCTCACAGAAGCAGTGGAGGAGGGTGTTTGTCTCTCTTCTTTTTTTTTCTTTTTTTTTTTTTCTTTTTTTTTAATCACGTGGACGGCAGAAGTATTGTTGTGGATGATGCAAAAATTGTCAGTTTAGCTGGATCACATAATCCACTAGTTAGCTTGTGGGTAAGATTTATTTAAGAAGAAGTAGCTCACAGCAGATAGGAAGGCAACTTCAACACCTGCTCAGGGACACCACTAAAGCCAGCCTGCTGGTTTTCCACTTCCCTCCTCCTAGCTGTACTTGATAAAACTATACCCTGGCCAGCTAGGGTCCTTTTCCAGCAGATGCAGAGATGCAGGAGTCATGATTTCTGCTTCCACTTCTGTAACTACTGCAGTGGTGCTGTTAGCTTGGTGGAGAATAAGCACTGCTACAATGTAATGCTTATTTTACAAGGACATATACAGGGATCTCCTTAGACTTTGTTGACATGCAGCAGCCTCTGGTGTAGAATGCAACAGCAGTAGACAGCAAGTTTGAGTAGAAAGCATAAGGGAGATAGAATACGAATTTATAGTTTGGGTTATGGACTGGCAAGAAATACTGTGATTCTTGCTGAATTTAGCTAGGGAACTGTGCTTTCGTGCTTTAGAAATTGTACCTTATTCTAATTTAAAGTATCTACTGATCTTTCATGGCAGATGAGCATAGATCTCAATTTTATGTGGAAGAACATCTTAAGCGATTCACTGTCTTCTGAACTGTGCCTTACTCTGAATAATAGTATAATTTCCTCTTTGGGGCACACTTGCGATCTGATAAACTGGTAATCTCGGTTAATGTATATGTACAAGAAAATGTGTCCTACGACAAATCCTACAAGATAAAGGTCAAATGAACCACTTTCAAACATTGACTAATGAATAGGGAAATGGCAGTTAAAATCTAAAATGTACATAAAAATGTATCCAGCACAGTGTTATTGATTGGACTGGAAGGGAGCAGAGTGAAACAAACTCGGCACTGATTTCTCTCTCCTTGTTCTTCAAAGATACTGTCATGTGTGGACAGTCCTTTTCTACCTCACACGTGAATTAGCTTGTACAGTGAGTGAAAGCATGAATAATGAAGGCTGCTGAAGGATATTAGATAAACTTTTATGCCCTCCATAGACATAGAAGAGCAAGCAGTCACTTCCCAAACATGATTTTGCAGAACACTTCTTTTGGTATTTTTCACTTTTCTCAGAGATCAATGGCAGTGCCACCAACTCCTCTTCATACTGCACGGGTCCTGCAAGAGGATAAAGACCACTGGGATGAAGTTAAAGTGAGTTAATCATAGTTTAGATTTCTTGAAGTCAATTCTGATAAGAGATTAGATGGGCTAGCTTCTCTGCGTGTGCTTATTTCCTTGGAGATTATGGCTATTTTGAATACAGCCGTATTAAACAAGGGAAGCATAAACAGTCCTGGTTAGAACAGTAGTGTATATGATGACTGTTTAAAAAAGAATGCTATTTGAGCTTCATCCGACAGTCTTACATCTGTGCGAAATATCAACAAAGATTATGTTTATGATGAAAGTTATTAATGATGCTGCCTGCTGAGCCACTGTATGTAACCACAGAGGAGAAGGGACAGTGCTGAGGGAGCTTGAAATTCATTGAAGTGAAGAATATAATGAAAATGTAGGGGGATGGGGTGGAAGGGTTGAGCTGCATTCTGGTTTTCTACTCTGTTCTTGTATTGTAAAACAACGTTAAATAACCTTAGCCTTGTCTTGTGACATTTGGCAAGGGGAGATAAAAACGTATCTGTCTTTCCCTTAATCTAACCAGGTGCCTCACCTACTGTTTGTACTGATGACAGTTGAATGCTTCCTGCAAAGAGAAACTATAGGGCAGACTAAAAGTTGTTTGCAAGCTTTAACTCTTTCCTGCTGGCCTTTATCAGGTTGGCATGCTTTTACAATTAATTCTGAATTTTTTGCACTTACAATGCTTGGTATTTTGATAATTGCAACATTCCTGTAGTGTATTTTACTGATTACTGATTTTATTTAAATTACTGATGTATAGTCTCAGCTGTTGAACTATATAATGGTAAAATTTCATAGGACCTAGGCAACATTTGCCTCCCAAGTCAAAGAGATCAAACAGATAGTTTCACTTAGCATTCTTCATTTCCATGTTTCTGAGAACTTCTTATCCTTGTGCTTTTTATAGGTCCAGAGGTATTCCCCTGGGCCACCGGCATTCCCATAATATTTAATTGGTTTTCCTTTCCTGAACTAAATGCATAGACATTCATTTACTTGAGCAGATTTTTGCTCAAGTCCTTATTAAAAAGTTTAAAATTTGCCCACACTTAAAAATTAATTCAAACTAAGGAAGCATGTGAATTTGAAGCACATACTTTTAAACAATTTTGTGTGGATTCTTTATTTTAGTTCCTGCTAATCTAGTTTGGTAGCAGAGCAAGGAAAGCAGCAGTCTGCTGTAAGAAGCCCAGGCTCAGTAGCTGGTAAAGGCCCAGAGCCAGCCAGTAAGAAGTGCTGGGCATAGGGACAGAGTGGAATTTAGGCCAGCAGAGTGTGGTCCTGCATGCTCACATATGAAACACTGTGTGAATAGTTCCTCCTGAAAGAGTCCATGAGTAGAACGAAGCCTTTAGTCATAGTCCAGTGCAGCAGAAAGGGCTCAGCTATTTCTGGCCATAGTGTAACAGAGGGTTCCTTTTTGTACATTCATCTCCTGGCAGTAGTGTGGGGTGGTTGTGCACTCTCTGCCTCGGGGTTTTCAATAAATGGCTTCCTTGGTTTCAGGAGGAGATGACCAGCGCTTTGGCTACCATGAGGGTGGACTATGATCAGGTGAAAATCAAAGACTTGAAAACGTCCAACAACCGCCTCCTGAACAAACGCCGTAAGAAGCAGAAGCAGGCAGGCACCTCTTCTGCAGCCCCAGGGTGCAATAACCAATGAGAAGAGAAGCCGAGGACCTGTGGGTGGAGGGTAAAAATTGAAAGGAACACTTTAAAATCAACATGATTGACTCGGTCCGTACCACCAAGGCAATAAGACCGTGAAGAAGCTATCCTGCAAAAAGGGAGCAGTGTGAAAGATTACATTTTTATAACTTGGATCAGGGCTTTGCTTTTAAAGGCTGGTGTATATGACATGATTCTGCTGTATATTGCTAGGGAAGGTACAGGAATACCAGAAATGTTACGGGTTTTTGTTTTGGCTTTAAGTGTATCGGACAAGAGGAGAGAACAGGAGGCAGTCGCAGCATACTAATGCACTGAGGCTTTAACAGCCATCTAGAAGAGTAACTTCTGCTACCGTTTTAAACTTGGGAATAGAAAAAATGCCAAGTGTTCTGCTAGGAGTGTTTTAGTAGTTCAAACATGAGTAGTGAGTGAGGAGAAAAATGTCACCGCTCTTTATACAGGTTGCACATGTGTAGTTCTATTGTGGATGCATCTGGACGGCATTTCATGTTAGAATTGGTAATAGTCAGTATTTCCAAACTTACCTCCTATAGTTACAGAATATCACCTAAATAGTAAACAGTTATTCCTGTTACAGGAAATCCATCCATACATTTCCATTTTCATAAAGTCTTCATGTAGTCTCATGTGAAGATTTGAGTTTGCCATGGATTCTCATTTGATAACATATAAGTTTTCTAAACTGTAACCATTATGTGGTGTCTATGCCACTGTTGGATCCCTCTCTTGTAATGTTTTTAATTTAAATGGTACTTTATGTGATGAGTTTTAATAAGGATTTAATTAGTTGGAAGTATCCTAAAGAGAATATTGCTGTTCCTCTTGGATCCACAACTTCTAGGGCGTGCAACTGGACATGCAATTGTAAACAAGAGATTGCTCTAGAAGAGAGACTTCTGAAATTCGGGAAGAAGTGGCAAATGCGTGTTCTCTGAATGGACCTTGGTGTCTGCCAGCATCCCTTCTGGTAATTCTCTCCAGATCCTGTGCCTAAGATGTGCCAATAATAGCAAATTTTGGGGTGCTGGGGTTGGTTTGTTTCCTGGGGTCAGGGAGGGGGGAGGATGCTACTTTATTTGCAGTGTTTTGTCAGTGTTTCTGGATCCGAAGATTTTTCACCACCTAAGGGAGATTACCTAGAAGTGTACCCACCCATTGTTTTTTTCCTATTCTAATTCTTGTTTTATGGGATCCTAGCCTTGGTTTGCTAATTTGTTTTACTTTGTGATCAAAATATTTCCTCTCGCTGCATGTTGGGTTTTAGTTTTAGTTGAGGTGAAGCAAATATTTGTGAAAGTACTATCAGAGTCTAGGATGAAAATGATGTGCTTCCAGTGATGCAGGCAAAAACTACTTTATGGTAGGCACACAGAGAACTGGTGTGTTAATAGGCTGAGAAGAATGTTAAAAGACAAAAAGGAAAACAAGGCTCCAGAGAGGATCTTAATCGTCAAATCTGACTGCCACATAGATCTTGTAACCTCCAGCAAAGATCACCTCAAGGCTTTGGACCTTGCCTGGGGAGCCCTATTCCCATCTTCAAAGTGCTGGATGAGACCTCCATTCTTTGTGAACTGGTCCGAGGGTTTTATAAACTGATTTTAATAAATTGTGTTACAACATTGCTTCCTCCTGTCATCCCTGGTTTTTGTTGAGATGTTGCAGAGTTTGTATTGCTTTGTGAGGTACATTTGTGTTGAAGGTGATGGGAAAAGGGAGAAGTGTTCAATGATGTCCACATTCAAAGGCTACCCAACTTTGAGCGTTTTTTAAGATTACAAGGGTTTGTTTTTAAATATCAATCTCTGCAAAGTTTTATTTTTAAATTATTTCATGTTTATCTAGGTAGCTGTATAATTATAACGTCTTGTATATATTTTATCATATTACTCTGATGAATTATGCAAATATTATTCACTACCTGTAAATGATAATACAACGAATGAAGAGTTGTGACGTGTTCAGGGTGCAACAGCTGGGATTAGAGCCAGATCCAAGTTTCTGTCCCTTTATCCAAAGTTTTTGAGGGAGCTGTGTACATCACCCCTACCTTCCCGTTTCTGTGCCCCATCAGGGTGACACCTGCTCCCACTATCCCAGTTAATAGGGCAACCTGTGTATAATGTGGCGATGTCCTGGCTGCCTTGGGTAGAGCGGTATTGAAACACTTGCAACGCACGTTTTTGCTTCTGTCCCGCCCAAAGTTTGAGCAGGAGTTCTCAGTTTCCAGCTGGCGCCTTCTTGCTTGCCAGTTCAGTTTGGAGCTTGAAGACACGTATCTGTTCCTGAGTAGTTTTCCACGGGGAATCCTAAAGCACATCTGGACCTGATTCCTTCCTGTGCGGTTCCAGTCTTTACCGCACTGCAGTTCAGAAGCTGGCGTGATGGCACTTGGGCACGGCACTTTCAGCTTCCAGTCCCTGTATAGTCGGACAATACCGTCTCGTTAAAATTGGGCTAATAATTCTTGCATTCTACCCTGCAGTGACAACGTCCAGGAATGCTGTAAAGCCCGGTGGGAACCTGAGGAGGGCCTCAAAATGGCAGACGCGGAAGTGTATGCAAGTATTGTACAGCAGCGCTTGTGCTTATTTTACAGAAGAAAGGAGGCAACTCCTTGGGAGCCGGGAGGCCGCTGACGCGCGGGGTGCCCGAGCTCCGCTCTGGTTTTAACCCTGCCCGAGTCAGCCGGAGCT